CCTCCTCCTCCTCCTCTTCCTTCTCCTCCTCCTCCTCCTCCTCCTCCTTGCGAGCGACTCCTGCCCCACCCCAGAGATTGACCCGAAACGGGGCGGGGCCCAGCCGCAAGGTTGCCCCTTCGCCTGGCGCGCCCCCCGTCCCGCAGGTTTCCGACACAGGCGCACCGCTCACCTCTTGGCAGCCTATAGGACAGGATTCACAGACGAATCGTTTGACAAAGAACATCGAGCTTATTCCCAAGATTCTCAACTGAAGCGTGCCCACCTGCGTTGAGCGAATTCAACTCTGACACCGCCGCCGCCCCGAATCATGGCTCTCGCGCTGACGCTGGTCTCGCGCTGTGTGCAACGCGGACGGACTACACGCTGCTCTTGGTGAATCGCTACCTTGTTGCGCACGCGCGTCATCCCCCCCCTCGCGCGCGCCAACGGCGCGCGCTGGGGTCGTCTCGAGCCGCGCGCGCTCGCTCCTCCTCCTCAACCTCCTCCTCATCATCATCCTCCTCCTCCGCCTCCTCCTCCTCCGCATCCTCGGCCTCCTCTTCCTCCTCCTCATCATCATCATCAGCATCATCATCTCCATCGTCTTCTTCTTCTTCATCATCATCATCATCATCATCATCATCATCATCATCATCATCATCATCATCATCATAAGCATCATAAGCATCATCATCATCACCATCCTTCTCTTCCTTTCTCCTCCCTCTTCATTGGTCTCATCAACGTCCCCTTCGTTGGCATCCTCGTCGGGACGGCGAGGGGGAGGGGGAGCTGCCTGCGCGCTGGTCACCGACACCACATGGGATTGTTCAACCTTGAGCGATGGCGGCTTGTCCATGGGGCGGATCGTTTGATGTCGGCCGACGCTGGGCCACTGGCGGCATTCAACCTTGAATGCGCGCGCTGGGGTCGCCGCCGCGTCGACACGACACGAACCCACCTTGAGGGGTCAGAGCATGCTGCTGCAGATTGCGGCTGCGGCAGCCTCGACGGCGGTGGCTGTTGTGTAGCTCCTCCCGCCCTAGCCCGCATGTCCGAGCCTGGGGCCTCCGCACAAGGTGATCGAGTGAGGGTGCCCCTCCCGGCCACCTGCTGTTTCTTACGAGGGGAGGCGGAGGAGGAGGATGAGGGGGAGGAGGCGGAGGAAGAGGAGGAAGCGGAGGAGGAGGAGAAGGAGAAGAAGGAGGAGGAGGAGGAGGAGGAGGGGGAGGGGGAGGGGAGGGAAGAGGAAGGGAGGTAGGGAGGAGGAGGAGGAGGAGGAGGGAGGAGGAGGAGGAGGAGGAGGCGGAGGAGGAGGAGGAGGAAGAGGAGGGAGGAGGAGGAGGAGCGAGGAGGAGGGGGAGGAGGGGGAGGAGGAGGAGGTGGAGGAGGAGGAGGAGGAGGGAGGAGGGGGAGGAGGGGGGAGGTAGGAGGGGGAAGGAGGGGGAGGAGGTGGAGGCGGAGGAAGGACGGGGGAGGGGGAGGAGGGGAGGAAGCCAGCAGGGAAGCCCAGCGCTGGCCCGGGCGGGTCGTGAGGCGTGGGGCGGCCGCCTGCGCGCGCTTGGGGGGGCGTGCTGCCTGCAGCGTGCGGCTTGAGTTTCGGGGCCCATGCCGCTGGCGGCAGGCTTCGACCCTCACGGGATGATGTGCGGCCGACGCTCGGCAGCTCGCACGACCCCGAAGCCGCAGCCTCGGCGCGTGCCCCCGTGGCAGCTGGCCTCGACGTGCACGCCGCTGCAGTCGCGCTGCACTGACCCCCCATCCATCGGATCCTCCTCCTCCTCCTCCTCCTCCTCCTCATACCTCCTCCTCCTGTTCCTCTTAATCCTCTCCTCCTACTCCTCCTCCTCCCGCCCTCCTCCTCCGCCCTCTCCCCATCCCCTCCTCCCCTCTTCATCATCTCCCCTTGCCCTTCACCAGCCCACCGCCTCCTCATAGTACCCCTCTTTTCCTCCACCTCGTACCGCTTATCCACCTCATCTTGGCTCCCGCTCGTCCTCATTCTCCTCCTCCTCCCTCCCTCCTCCCCTCCTCCTCCCTCCTCCTCCCCCTCCTCCTCCTCCTCCTCCTCCTCCTCCTCCTCCTCCTCTTGTGTTTCTGCACTCATGATCTTCCTCCTCTTCTTCCGCCACCTCCTCCGCCACCTCCTCCAGTTGCTGCTTCTTGGCCTCCCCCCCTCCGCCCCGTCAAGCAACCCTTTGTGCGTTTCACCGCAGCAGCCCCCCCCTCTCCGCGCGCTTTTTGTCCGCTGCACTGCCTAGCCCGTTGCCTGCGGCTCAGCCTCGGCAGGCTTGCTCTTGACCTTCTTCTCCTCCGAGGGGCAGGTGCAGCACCGCCATCAGGAGTAACAGGAGGAGCAGGAAGGTCCGCAGCAGCAGCAGCAGCAGCGCAAGTGACTGCAAGAGTGATAGCTGACAGCAGGAGCAGCAGGAGCGGGGGCGATAGAGGAAGGAGCACGAGCAGGAGACAGATCGGGACGAGGAGCCGGAGAAAGAAAAGTGTGGCAAGGGAACGGAGAGAGGGAGGAGCAGCAGATGATGAGAGTCATTAGCGCCTGAAGGAAACCGAATTGCCCCATATTCCGACGTGGGCGCCTGGCCCCCAATGTGGGCTGGTGAGACCATGCAGCAAGGGACCATAACTGCTGGCGGCGGGAACAGGAGAAGCGGGCAGCAACAGTCCGTGGCTGGCCGTCCTGATCTTCGCCTATTCCCTCGCCGCTAGCACTACATTCCAGCACGGGGGTAAGAAAACATCCTACACGGAAGAATACCGTCAATTGCCGACCTTCACAAGTGGCCGGTACACTCCTGCTTTCACCCAGGTTATGGATCCAATTGGACATCGCAAGAAGCCATGTGGACCCTCTTCCCTGTAGCAGGACTGAGCTGCTACGGGGGCCCACACCAGCCGCTGCTGCCCAGTACCTGCTTCGGAGAAAGGGTTGCGGCTCAACGCCGGGTAGGGGTCGCCTGCCCGCGGGAGCCTATCGGCTGGCCCAGGCGGCAATTGCCTTGGCGAGAGCAGGCGCGTCCGCCGAGCTGTACATCGTGCCGCACCAGCCCGCGTGCGCCGAGCTCGGCAGGTTGTCGATGCCGCCGCCGGGGCAGAAGGTGTGGAGGTGCAGCCATCCCACGCTGACGGCGTGCGATGCGTGGATGCACTGCGAGACTGGGCCCAGCGCCACCCTGCTCTGGTACGTCTCGAACGACGCCTCGAGCATAGATGCCAGGAGGGATACCATCCTCTGCCTGCACCCGTCCCTGAGAGCATGGATATTCTTGTAGAATGACCTGGGGATCGTCAGCAACGCCGCAGGTGGGCCTACGCACCCGCTAGCCTCGTGGATGTTGTTGAAGGTGACGCTGTGCCCGTTGCCCCCGAGAAGGGCATCGCCTGCACAGCCCTGGTCGCACGCGCACCTGCGATCGGCACAGCCAGAGTTCCCGGCGAGCTGACAGAAGCACAGCTCACCGATGCCGCCGCCGTGGTGCTCGAAGTAGCACTGGCCGCCGCCGCTCACGTTGCCGCCCTCCTCGCAGACGGCCACGTAGTCGCTGCAGCAGTCCCCGTGCTGGCGGCAGGCGCCGTTGCAGGAGCACTCCGGCTCCTGGCGGTGCCTGCCACACCCGACCTCTCGGCACGAGGCGGGGCCGCCAGAGCCGCCGACCGCGACGGCGCCCGCGCTGGCGCCAGGGAGCGGCGCTGGCATGCTTGGCGAGCCACCGGCCCACACCGCGGCGAGCGCGGCGGCCCAGTGCGCCTGGGCCTCGTCGGTCATGGTGGTGCACCAGTTGAGTCTGGCAGAGGAGGGCAGGTGGTCCAGCTCCCCCTCTGCACAGAAGGTGACGGCGTGGAGCCAGGGCGCGCCATGCGTGCCGGGGCCTCTGATGCAGTGGCGCACGGCGCCTGGGCCGACGGCTTGTCGATAGGCTCGCAGGCCGCCTGTCAACATCTCGGCGATCAGGTCCGTCATCCTATCGGGGCACGTGTTCTTCAAGGCATCTAGGCTCGCGAAATAGGACTTCGAGACCGTGACTATGGAGGTGGCCTTACCCGAGCAGCCAACTGCACCCCTATCGCCAACGAAGCTGACAGCGGTCGGAAGCCGCCACACGGACGCCTCGTCATGAGGACACGCGGCGGTGCAGCTACACGGTCTCCCGCTGCACCCTGGGTTTCGGGCCACCTGGCAGAAGCATTCCGCCGACTGGTCCTGGTCTGCAAAGCTCGCCTCGCAGGCGTCCTGCCCGCCGAAGGCCTTCAGAAGGCCCGCGGACACCGAGGAGGCTCTAGACAAGACCGCACCGCCACTGCTGCTGATGGCACCTCAGGGCCAACCCCCCGACCGTGGCAGACGCAGCGCCCGTCTGCTCCCGACCCCGATCCCGCCCTGATGCCCGAGGCTCGACCGATCGCCCCAGTCCGATCGATTGGCCGACCAGCGACCCGCGATCAGCCGAGGCCGGGTTGGTCGATCGAGCACAGTCGAAGGCCCCGATCGATCGCCCGACCAAGCCCCAGACCATCGCTTCACCGAACACCGATCGACCGATCGAGCTTCAATGCCGATCGGCCGATCGGAGATCTGGCCTCTGAGGTGGGTGCCGCCGCTGCCCCCCTCGCCGTGGGGCGCCGCCTTCCTGCGGCGGGCGACCTGACCCTCTGGCTGGCACGCGGCCAGAAGCACCAGCAGCACGGCCGCGGGCGCCAGGCCCACGCACAGCTTCCCGGCAGCCAGGCCTCCGCCGCCGATGTCCCGCGCGCAGCCGCGCTCGGCGCCGCAGCGGGGCGCCGGCGCCCGCGAGTCCCAGCAGGGGGCAGCCGCGCCCGCGAACTCCTGAGCCTCGCGGGCCGAGGGCACCAGGCTGTGGTAGGCTGGGCCGCCGAGGAGTCCTTTGCCCCCCGCGGCGGCCATGGCAGGCCGAGGTGCCCGCGGCGGGGCCCCCTCCTCGAGCCAAAATGGCTCTGCGGGGGTGCCGCCCGTGGGCGCCGCGTGGCTGGCCCCCGCGCCCGGGGGTCCGCCGAGTCTGCGGCACGCTGCCGCCCCTGGCGTGGGGGCACGGGGAGCGGGAGCCAGGAGGCGTGGCGCTGCCGGGGCGCGTCCTGCGGCCAGAGGCCCCCAAAACGGCCCAAGAGGGCCCCCAGACGGCCCAAGAGGCGCCCAAGACGGCCCAAGAGGGCCTCAAGACGGCCCCAAGAGGGGGACCACGAACCGAAAAGTCTAGCCTTTTGCCCCAAGATGCTCCCAGGAGGCCCCAAGAGCCCTCCAAGAAGCCCCAAGAGGCCCCCAAGAGGTTCCCAAGAGGCCCCCAATGGTCGTGGGTGGCGCCTGTGGGAGGCGATGGCGGTGGTGGTGATGTGGTGGTGTGGTGGTGCCGGTGCTGCTCGCGGGGGTGGTGGTGCGCATGCTGGCACTGGTCGTGGTGAACTTAGTGGCTGTGGCGATGGCACTCATCGTGTTGGTGGCAATGGAGCACGGTGGTTCCTTTGTACTTCGTTCTCTTTTTAAGAGATAGAATATCAAAAACAAAACAAAAAAACGCTGGCGCGCCTGGGTCTGGCGCGCCAGGTCTGCAAAGCAGGCAAGTGGCAAGCAGTAGTTGGACAGCAGTGCATGGCGAAAAGAAAAACATCAACGCAGCGCGAACCCAAACCGTGAAAAGTTGAGCCCGTGAGCCGCCTCGAGCGGCGCGCGTCGCAGCCACAATGCTTTTCGCATTGATCCTGAGACAGACAACGCACTTACGGCGCTGAGAAGCTGTGATCCGCCAAACAGACGGGCGTTGGCAGAACTGGGTCTAGTGGGACCTGGTTTAGTGATGTGCACTGGGGACGCCCCCCCAGCCCCGTTCCACTAAGCGGAATTGCCGTCACCCGAAAAAATACCAACTACGGCAGACCTGGTTTAGTAATTCTGGCCCATTCAGGGGCTCTGGGGCCCTACTACTAACCGGGTCCGCTTACCTGGGGTCCCGGCTATACCCGAAAACAGAGTACTAGGTCCGCCGTCCCCCGTGGCACCTCCTCAGGAGCGCACGGCGGGCCGCATTGTCCGAGCCGCCTTGGCTCCCCCCGAAACTGGCCCACTGCCCCGAGTCGCCAGAACCCATCTCCCTGTTTCCAAGTCAACCCCCGACGCCTCCAAGACGGCCCGGCACAGCGGCTCAAAGCAGAAGAGGGGCTACCAGGCGGCCCAAAATCCGGCCCAGACATCTGCAGATGGCCAAACAACCCAGCACGACCCTAGTTCCGATCTTTCTTTCTTCCAAAGCACGTCGAACCAGCTCTGAGCAGTGCAGAGCACTGCCATGCAGAGCATTGCTCAGTGTTGACTGGCGTGGCTTTGCGTTGCTTGGCATCCGTTGGCATTGGATTGCATTGCTGAGCATTGCTGGGCATTGCTTGGCGTTGCTTGGCAGTGCTTGGAGTTGCGTGGCATCGCTTCGCATTGCGTGGCAGTGCTTGGCATTGCTCGGCATTGTTTGGTATTGATTGGCATTGCTGGGTCACCATTGCTTCGACTTGCTTGCAGTTGCTGGGCGTTGCTTGGCATTGATTGTCATCATTGCTAGGCGTTGATTGACATTGCGTGCCGTTGCTGGGCATTGCTGGGCATTGCTTCGCGTTGATTGGAAGTGCGCGGCACCGTTTGGCTTTCCTTGGCATTCCGTGGCGTTGCTTGGCATTGCTTATTGTGGTGTTTGGTCTTGTGCGGTATTGATTACGATTTGCGTTGCCTTGTTTGGCATTGCATTGGCATTGCTTTGGCTGTACTTGGCATTGCGTGGCGTTGCTCGGAATCGTCGTATGCCCTTTGCCTTAGCATTGCTATTGATTTGCAGTGCTTGGCGTTGCTTGACACTGCTTGGAACTGGTTGGCCTTGCTTGCCCTTGCTTCTCATTGATTGGCACTGTTTGGCAATGCTTGGCATTGCTTTGCGTTGCGCAGTCTGGACACCCAGGCAACCGAGCAACCACGGGCAAGCAGGAGCACCACACGACCAAGCAACGGGGCAACCCGAGGAACCCAGGAGGTCATCTCTGACAAGCGTCGCCAAACCCACCCGCGTCTTCATAAACAAACGAGATCCCTTTTAGCAAAGCTTCAGTTGGGGAAAATGACTCCGCGACAAAACCAGAAGGGCCCAAGGCGGTCCAATATGGCCTCGAGGACGGCCCGACACGATCCCGATGGCCCTCAGGACGGCCCTGGAACCTTTATGCGAGGCGCCCAGGGGGCTCTTGAGACGCGTCCTGACGGATTCGGAAGAAACACACAAAGCCAGGGCATTTGTCACTCTTCCTCTTCATCCGTCTCCCTTCCCCCTGAAATTTCTAATGCAATAGAATTCGCGGTTGCATGTTCACGGAATCGAGCTTACAAAATGTAACCACAATCCGCTGGCCCCCTCGTGGGGCTACCAGGCTGCGGGAGTTAGGCTTGCTACTCCCTGCTCCAATTCCAATTTCAAGTCCCCCATGTTCTAATACTACGTTTAGGTCGGGCATGTCCACCTACAGGCGGATTTTGGACGACACATTTAAGATACCCTAAAAAATTGTCAACAAATACTCAAAGCATCGTCCCCTGATTATTTGTTAGATCGTTTTTGAATTTTTCTCCTGTAGAGGGACACGCACGACTTAATACTACGTTCTACTTCCTACTGTAGATTGCTCAAATCCGCACGAGGCGAGGGAGCCCAAAAAGGTCCAATGCACCGCGCCCGACGTGCGTTGTCTGAAGTCCTGCTCCTCCCCCTCCTCCTCTGGCAGGCTTCTGACACCCCCTGCGCCTCAAAAGGGCACCCCATGGCGGCAGCAGGCGCTAAAAACTGTCGAGCTGCATAGCGAAGAGGGCCGCACACCATCCGGCACATGGAGTAGGCCTCTCCCCCGACCAAATCTGCATTGGCCGGGGATCATAAACTGTCAGGGGTTCAAGGGGGGGGGCACTTCATTATCCATGGGTCGAGGTCTTACAGGGAGACCGCGCGGGACCCACTATCGTACGGGGAGCCGTGCGCATGGGTCGAGGTCGTACGGGGAGACCGAGGTCGTCGGGTCGTAGGGGGGGGGCACTTCACTATCCATCCGGGAGACCCTACGGAAGGCCGTGCGGGAGACCCTGCGGGAGGCCGCAGGGGAGAGACCGCGCGAGAGAAGTCATGCGGGAGACCACGCCGGAAGCCACACGGGAGGCCAGAACTGCGGGGCGCCCTGCGGGGGAGCCGCGCGGGAGGCCGTGCGGGGCGGGAGACCGCGGGCCACGGGCCATCGCTTCCGGACCGCGAGGGCCTCCCACCCCGCACCCAGCCTCCGAGCAACCACGTAGAGGCCGGACACAATCAATCTGAGGACCACAAGACGGAGTCGACGCTGTTCCTCTCGGCGTGGGCATGTGTTGGGCGTCGAGGTTGCAGAAAGCTGCGGCCGGAGCGGGACGGGGCGCACACGCCCCGTGCGAGAAGGTGGAGCAATGTCGCTCTCGCCCCAGCGCCGCGCTCGAGAGTTGCACTCCCGCTTGGGGGCGGCGCACAGCTGTCGCTCCTCATCTCATCCACGCGCGCGCGCACGGACGAACATGTCGCTCTCGCCTCGACGCGCGCGCGGACGAACCTGCCGCCTCTCGCCTGCAGCCTGTGCGCTTCGCGGGGCAGGAGGCTGGGAGAAGCTCGGGACGTACGGCAGGTTCGTGTCGTGCCGACCCCAGCGTTGGTTTTTGACACCGCAGGGATCGTTCAACCTTGAACGATCGGCCGCTGCCGCAACGTCCGATCGTTCAACATCGATCGATTCTGGGTCGCCGGCGGCGTTCAACCTTGAACGCCCGCGCTGGGGTCGCCGCTGGTCGACACGACGCAAACCTACCGTATGTGATCAGCGCGTCGTGCCGAAGCGTGGTGGGCCACAACCGGCGGCGCGACGCGCTGACCAACAGTTCCTGACCGTACTACCGGCGCCCGCGCCGCTCGCCCTGCCGAGGGCACGGCCGGCGCCCCGCAGCCCGTGCTCCGCGAGCGCCGCGAGGCCCCCAAACACCACTAGAAGCCTCCTCCTCCTCCTCCTCCTCCTCCTCCTCCTCCCCGTCGCCTTCGGCTGTACCAAAGTTGGGCTGCTGATCCTGAAGGGGCTTCCCAGGTTCTTATTGCGCTTTTCGGGTCCCTGGAGATCGATTCCGCTCGGCCGCCGGCCTCCTCCTCCTCCTCCTCCCC